GGATGACAATTAAGGACAGATTCCCTATTCCACTCATTGAGGACTTGATGGATGAATTGGGTGGATCATGTGTCTTTTCCAAGATTGATTTACGTGCTGGGTATCATCAAGTACGTATGGACCCAGTTGATATACATAAAACGGCTTTTAAGACGCATAGTGGTCATTTTGAGTATGTGGTCATGCCCTTTGGCCTCACTAACGCTCTAGCCACTTTTCAAAAACTCATGAACACGGTGTTTAAAGCATTCCTACGGAAGTTTGTGCTCATATTTTTTGATGATATATTGGTGTACAGTGCTTCCCAGGAAATTCATCTTCAACATTTGGAAAAAGTGTTTTTGACAATGAGAGAGCATAAGCTCTTTGCTAAAGAGAGTAAATGTGCTTTTGCAACAAGTAAGGTGGAATACTTGGGACATTATATAACTGTCGGAGGAGTTTCTACAGATCCTACCAAAGTCAAGGCGGTGGCAGATTGGCCTGTACCCACCACAGTGAAACAGCTCCGCGGATTCTTGGGTTTAGCAGGTTACTATCGCCGCTTTGTTAAAAACTTTGGTACCATAGCCCGTCCTTTGACTGCATTAACTAAGAAGGAGTCCTTTAGTTGGTCTGATGAAGCGTTTGAGTCCTTTCAGAGCCTGAAAATTGCTCTTTGTGAAGCACCAGTACTAGCTTTACCCTTATTTGACCAACCCTTTGTTATGGAAACTGATGCATGCCGCCAAGGCATAGGAGCCGTGTTGATGCAAAATGGACACCCATTGGCTTACATCAGTCGACACTTAAAAGGTAAACAGTTGAATTTGTCTATCTATGAGAAGGAGCTTCTTGCAGTGGTGTTTGCAGTCCAGAAATGGCGCCACTACTTGCTCCCCAATCATTTTATCATCAAGACAGACCAGCGAAGCTTGAAATACTTACTGGAACAGAGGTTAAACACTCCAATTCAGCAACAGTGGCTACCTAAATTGTTAGAATTTGACTATGAGATCCAATACAGACAGGGCAAGGATAATGTGGCTGCAGACGCACTATCAAGAGTGGAGGGAGCAGAAGTTCTTCATATGGCCATGTCGGTATTGGAGTGTGACCTTTTGCAGGACATCCAAGCTCATTATGATACTGATGCAGAGCTGAGACAAATCATTAACCTTTTGGAGAAGGATCCTTCAGCCAAAAGACATTACTCTTGGACACAAACTATACTTAGGAGAAAAAGTAAGATTGTTGTTCCTAATGATCTCCAGCTGCGGAATTCCATTCTCCAGTGGATGCACTGCTCTGGTAGTGGGGGACACTCAGGCAGAGATGCAACTAATCAAAGGGTTAAAGGCCTCTTTTACTGGAAGGGTATGGCAGTGGACATACAGAAGTACATCCGGAGCTGTCAAGTGTGTCAAAGGTGTAAGTATGATACGTCTGCTTCCCCAGGGTTGTTACAGCCCTTGCCAAATCCAGAGGCGGTATGGACTGACATTTCAATGGACTTTATTGATGGACTTCCGCCGTCAGCAGGGAAAACAGTTATCTTGGTTGTGGTGGATAGGTTAACCAAGGCTGCTCATTTCATGGCTCTAGCTCACCCCTACACTGCAGTTACTGTTGCTCAGGCCTTCATGGATACTGTTTTTAAACTTCATGGTTGTCCAAGATCGATTGTGAGTGACAGGGATACTGTTTTTCTCAGTAACTTCTGGAGAGAATTGTTTTCTTTGCAAGGTGTGGATCTCAAGTTCTCTAGCGCCTATCATCCCCAAAGCGATGGCCAAACGGAGGTAGTCAATCGTTGTTTAGAAACTTACCTGAGATGTATGTGTAGTGACAAGCCACATCTCTGGAGCAAGTGGTTGCCTCTCGCAGAATTTTGGTACAACACCAATTTTCATACTTCAACACAAATCAGTCCTTTTGAAGCAGTTTACGGGCAAGCACTGCCTATACACCTACCTTACTTGCCAGGTGAATCTAAGGTGGCAGTGGTTGCTAGGAGTTTACAAGAAAGGGAACAAATGTTGTTAATTCTCAAGTTTTACTTGTTAAGGGCTCAGCATCGCATGAAACAGGCAGCTGATCAACACAGGTCTGAAAGGAGTTTTGAGATTGGTGATTTAGTGTTTGTAAAGCTTCAGCCTTATCGTCAGGGCTCAGTGGTGGTCAGGACAACAGAGAAACTCTCTCCGAAGTACTTTGGTCCCTACAAGATAGTTGATCGATGTGGTAAGGTCGCTTATAAACTACTTCTACCACCAGGGTCCTTGATACACCCTGTTTTCCATGTGTCCCAGCTTAAAGCCATGGTCGGTACAGCGCACACATCGACTCAACTTCCATCTATTGTTTCTGACGTCTTGATCAAAGAACCAGTAGCTATCTTAGCTCGTCAGATGGTGAAGCGACAGGGCAGGGCAGTTACCAAGGTTCTGGTACAATGGTCTAACGAAACAGAGGAAGAAGCAACTTGGGAATTTTTGTTTGACTTGCAGAAGAAGTTTCCATCTTCTGAACCTTGCGGGCAAGGTTCTTCATCGGGGGAAGCTTTGATATAGTGTTCTAGAAGCTGGGCTCACACGTGCGAGGGACTCAAGAAGGAAGCATGTGCGCAGTGATGAGCTGGCATCAAAAGGCAACTTGCATTTTCACGTTAACGGTGTTGGATGTTGACAGAATAAACCGTTAACGTTGTTTACTTTTTCGCATATAAGAGCAGCTGTTAGCTCACATCTTTTTTAGGCAATTTTATCTGGATCTGTAAAAGTTCTAGAACTTTCTCTTTTCCTCATCGTTTTGCCGGAGTTTCTCGACGGAGTCTCTAGCAGGTGAGAAGTGTTACGGCGTTTTAGGAACGTTGTAACAGTTATCGTCTCTTTAATAAGAATACTCTGTTCTTACTCTATTTTACGATTTCATAATATAAGACCAAACTCAATTATAATCTAACACTCCTCCTTAATTGAGTTTCTGTCTTTCTCCAAGCGTCCTCTTCAGTTCTTCAAACCTTGACCTTATTTACTTCTTCTTCACTTGCAAGTAAAGCACTCTTGTCCGCCTTTCTCCATCTCAATGGAAAACTCTTATGCTTCATCTTAATATCCAGTTTCCTTCTTCCTTGATCGTTGATGAGACATCTATTGTCTTCAAATAACACTCCATATCCATTGGATATCATTTGAGAAACACTCTACAGATTTCTCGCTAAACCCGGCACTAGAAACACCTCTTTGATGATCTTCTCTCCTTGGCTTGTCATCACTTGGACGTTTCCTTTTCCTGCCGTCATTACATGTTGACCATTCCCCACTTTGATCGGAACCTTTATACTTTGATCAAGAGTGATTAAGTATTTAATTTCCTTGGTCATATGGTTAGTGCATCCGCTGTCAACTAACCATGTATCATCATTCCCTTTTGATGATTTTCTTCTTCAACCACACTAAACAGCATGTGACTCTCATCATCTGTTTCTTCTAGACTTAGATCAGCTCCCTCGGTTTGTCTAAAATAGCAGTTTTTCGCTAGATGTCCTGGTTTGTTACACACAAAACATCTTCTCTCATTGTGATTGTTGCGTTTGCAAACGTCACTCTCATTGTGATTGTTGCGTTTGCAAACGTCACACCATTTGTCGGCCTTCTTTTGACGCTTGTTTTCTCCATAGAACGCTTCTTCTGTCGAACTCTCATATCGTGAAGCAATACGATGCTCTTGTGCTTGTAGAGTATCAATTAACTCTGTCACAGCCAATGTTTCTAGATCTTTTGTTTGCTCCATGGACTCTTAACTGATTTGCCAAATCAATTAATTTTCCCGTGAAAACTGATATAGGAAAATGAGATTGGTGAAGTTAATGACACGTGGATGGTCATGATTAGAAGTGGATCAATGGCTGAGATTAATTGGAGCTCAAGATTGTGAAGAAGAAGCGTTAAAAGGAAGCAAAAACAGATTACAATCATTCATGTGAAATTGTTGTTTTGAGATTGTTATCTCTTTCTCCTTCTTTTCTTTTGTTAACTCTCTGAGATTGTTATGGTGTTGTACTCATCTTGCTGGGGTTGTTTCTTCAATCTATACTCAAGCATTTGAGATTTGGTTTTGCGTTTTATGAACGTTAATCCAATTTGAGTTATCGATTCATTCTAATTGAGAAATTACAGTTTTTCTGTATCAAAAACCTTGACATTTTCACCATCGTTCATCTTCAAGTTTTCGTACTCTCTTCTCAGTGTCTGGAGTTTGATCAATCGAACTTGGGAAGTTCCTTGAAACTCAGATTCCAATGCATCCCAGGCGATTTTAGAAGTAACCGCTGGTGCTATGCGCGGAAATATTCGATCCGATACTGCCGTTTGTAACAGTTGCAGGGCCATCAAATCCTTTGTTGATTCTTCCTCCCATTGCTTTCTCAATCGTAACCCTTCCGGAGTATGATCTGTTTGCGTTGGTTGATTCGAAATTTCATTATCCACTACATCCCACAACTTCTTTGTCTTCAGAATTGTCTTGATTTTGATTCTCCAGAGATCGTAATTTTCTCCATCAAATATCGGAATTATTTGATGAGATGTTGTCTCCATCTTCTCTGTTCTGTTGCTTGAACTTGAATCAGTAGGGCTCTGATACCATGTTAGAAGCAGAGACTTCTTGTTCTCACAAAGAACACAACAAGTAAACTTGTTCTGTTTCTTCTGAGACCAATCGAAGAGAACAAAAGAAAGTAACAGAGAACTGACTTCTTTATTGAATCACAAACTTTTTTTTTTACATCAGAGTTACGATGTTTAAATAGATAAACAACAGACATAATAAGAGTTGCATCTCTTCTACGTGTGACTCTTGGACACATAACCTAACAGACACGACTCTAACACATACACTCTTTGACTTAACATACATAACTACTTGTATAATTAAATAATATAAGACCAAACTCAATTATAATCTAACAATCCATTTGAAACTATGGATCAGATAATAAGTTAATTTGTCCGGTTCAATTGTTAACTTGTTTACTCAATTATATTTGTATCATGTACGTTACACGATTGTGATTTATGAAGACTATTCCAACAACAATTTTCTTGCAACACAGGACTGGATGGTTTCGAATGATTTTAATTTTTCTAGTATTTCTACAAATATCCTCATGTTGGATTGGTGAATTTTTTTTCTATCAAATATCATGTTTCATTGGATCTAGTATTTGTTAAATTTATTAGCCGAAGCATGTCACTCTCCGCTTGTTTCACCTGTCTTGACGGGATTCTCGATGTACTGATGGAACTGTCCACAAACATTTCTTTTAAAAACATAAAAATATTGCTCAGTTCATTGAGCAAGAAGGGTTTAAATGCCACATCTCCTCATTGCATTTTTAATCCTTCTCTGGAGAATGATTTCAAAAATGTCTGTAGCCAAAAGAAATTTTTATATTAGCATACATGACTTGTGATTTGTGTCACTTGATAACGATGGAAAACATGTTTACACTTCTTGATACGGATAATCTCATGGCCATCTTTTAACTCTTCAAGACAAATTGAACAACAAATCTCATCAAACCCTTCTTTTTCAATATCTTTAAACTCCATTTCCTCGATCCGTGCCCTATAACCGGTTTTATATTCTAGTTGAGACTGAAGCGGCGCTAGATGTCCGGTTTCAATGTCTTGCTGAGGCAAAGGCTGAGGCAGAGGCAGAGGAGGAAGTGAGGGATGAGAGTTTTGATGAGTCTCAAGAGCTAATTCCGTAGGAGGTTGAATATATTTGTTGTAAAAGATGATACATATATATAAGATGAAGAAGGATAGTACAATGGCCCATGGAAAGAACATTATTGATAACAAATCTAGCAAGGGCATAGATTCTATCATCCTAATACAGTAAAACCTCTATAAATTAATAATGTTGGGACCATGAAATTTTATTAATTTAGAGAGGTATTAATTTATCAATAAGAGAGATTTTACTAATTTTAAAATTTCTTTAAAATTTTCTATCTAAAAATAATTTTTTTTCTTTATAAGCAATATTTTTTTTAAACCAATTGCAAGCAGAGAAGCAAATATTAAGTTTAAAAAACAACACAAACTTTTTTCGAATAATAGAGTCATATTTCATTAAAATTTTTACATATAATATTTTAAATATATATCATAGTAATTCATATATGATATATAAATTTATATCATATATATATATATATATATTAAGTTAAATATACATATATATATATATATTGATAAGTTTATACAATTATTAATTTATAATATAGATGAGACCATAAGTTTACATTGGATTTTCAAAAAAATTATTATCTTATTAATTTATCGATTTATGTCATATTTTACACTTGTCCCAACTCGGGACCGGAAGAATTTATTAATTTAGAGAGGTTATTAATTTATAGAATATTAATTTATAGAGGTTTTACTGTATTACTTTTCCACCAGAGAGATCAAATTTGGAGTTGTAGCTGAAGCAATTATTTCGTATCCATAATGAGAATCATTATCAACTATCATTTAAATTTATCTTCCTTTTTTTTTTCTTGTACAGTTGTATATATCTATCTAGAGATGAGTCTTTATTACGAGATAAATACATATTTTAGATATGGTAGTTTCCTATATATTATCTGAATATTCGTTTTGTCTATATTGGTACTTTCTCATATTGTAATTTATAATTGTTAGCATAATAACAATTTTTATGATTATTTTTGTTTATTTGTTTTTGATTTCTAAGGGTTCTAAAATTTTCAAATCATAGTAGAGCAAATGCTTGCAAACTAAGAAACTACAAAAAAAAATAGGTTTGAAACCAGAGGAAGAAGATAAACACGTATATATTGAATAATAGATCACATGACTCGCTTCAAACTTTTAACATGTAAACTCTTTGGTTATTATCTCTGTTATAGATAGTTTTGTATATACTTTTAATCTATAAAAAATTTGAAACAAAAGCCGATGACTAGGTACAAAACTCAACTATAGTCTCTCCTCTATTTGTCATCAATCAACAGAACAACGACAAATTGGACAGTTCCGATTTGTATCAAACCAAGAATGAATACAAAAGCGATGAAAAACATGCCTACACTTCTTTATGCACATAAGCTCGTGGCCAATCTTGAACTCTTCTAGACAAATTGAACAGCAACCCCCATCTCCTTCTTCGACATTTTCAAGCTTTATGATCGTCTCGACCGCGGTTTCATTGATCGCTGGAATATGCCCGGTTTCAATAACTTGTCGAGGAGGAGGCGGAGAATGAGTACAGCAGCACGATAGAATGGTGACAACGATTAAAAGGCCTATTATGGTGTAGTAAACTATATATCCGGTCCCTATGATCATTATCACTGGCAGTATCAAACTCGAGTTTGAGTTTTAAAACCTGTTTGGTATTTATAATGAGAATCCCTAAGCATGTCCCATTTAGCTATTAGGATAAGTATTTATATTCTTTTTTTGCGCTAAAATCCTAATCATATATATCACAACTTTATAAATTAGTTGAAACTAAAACAAATCACAAAATATACTTTCTCCATACACACATATTGTATATTAAACGTTTTACGTTTTATATCTTTGGCAATATTACGTGACCACATGGTCCACAACACATAGTTTGCCAAAACAATTATGAAATAAATCGATATAAGGAGATTAAAAAAATAAACCCTACTCTCCCTCTAGGCTCTTTCTTGCATTAAGGGAGCATCGACAATTCGGACAGCTTCGATTCTGATTGAGCCAATAATCAATACAAAAACGATGAAAAACATGTCTACACATATTTATACGAATAATCTCATGGCCATCTTCAAACTCTTCAAGACATATCGGACAACAAATCTTATTGGACCCTTCTTCGATATCTTTAAACTCTAAAACTGTCGTTTCATTGATCCACGTCATACATCCGATTGTTATGTCTTGTTGAGGCTGAGGCAGCATTACATGTCCGGTCTCAATGTCTTCTTGAGACTGAGGTAGTGGATGAGAATTTTGGTGAGTCTCAAGAGCTATTTCCGTAGGAGGTTGCTGAATAGGCTCTATGCAAATTCTATCAAAGTAGATAACGATTCCTACAATGGCCATCAGAGGTAACATAAACAAAAACAGTCCCGTAGGAGAAGAATCCATATCCTGTGACGGCGGAGATTCCATCGTCGTTATTTTACTTCCCTACCAGAGAGATCAAATTTGGAGTTTGAGTTAAAGCAATTGCTTCGTATCCATATACTGTATTCAGAATCATTATCAACTCTTTTTTTACATTTTTGTGCAAATCTAGAGTTGAGTCTTTCTTTATTACGAGATATACACATATTTTAGATATGGTTAGTTTACCATATTTTGTAAATCTAGAGTTGATGTGAATATTACTTTTGTCTATATTGGTGGTACTTTTTCATAATGTACATTAATTAGGTTTAGATTTTAAACCATATGAAATCTCTGGATAATATATAGAAACAGAATCATATTTGATGGTCAGAAATTACAATAATCAAAACTAGGAGTAGACGGGGCCACAAATGGGCCTCATACAGCGCCAAATGGGCCTCATACAATGAAATGGGCTTAGACGTCAACCCAACTGTATCCCTTTGATGGATTTTTGTTTTCTGGATTTAATAATTTGGGAGCCCGAGATATACTAAACATTAAACTTGACAACAAATCACATTATGGTAATTGTTTATTTAACTAATTTTTTTGAAAATTTTCCATCATTTAAATAGGTAATTGACTAATCTGATGTATAATTGAATCAGAACAAAATTTAACATGAATATTATTACACGACTTCAACCACTTCACCTTCTTTGCAAACTGCAACACTAATCTCCAAAGTATTGTTCTTCTTTGATTTCACCCTACAACAATTTCTTCTAGGAGACTGCAGACCAAATTTGAAATCATATATCAAAATGTTATTATTTCAAGCACTAAAAATAAAATGACTATATAACATGTTGACTTACCCTGTCCCAGAGGTGAGGGTCCGGTTTCTTGTAAACAATGACCGTCTTAATGTCGCCGGGATTAGCCATCTTCCACCGACACTGGGGATGACCCACACGGTGGATTTCATAACGGCTCACTGTCATATTTGTCACCGGATGAACACTGGTTGATGTCATATAGAACACAAACGGTTTCTGGCATGGATGTCGACTCACTGGTCGGGTATTGAAAGCGTATGCCGTGTAATCCGCACGTCGATACCTATCGAAAAAATACAATGTAAAACAAAATGACCATATATATCTAGATTTTGGGGTTGACTTATGTAATTAACTAAGGTTTTGATATAAATTACCAATTTAAGAAGGTTCTCGACGGCATTTCAATCTCTCGAGCAGAAAAGATTCCGCGAAAAATCTGAACCGCAAAGCCCCAAGAGACAGATACAGTCCATTTACGACGTTTGTCATAGCATATCGACTGTTGCATAAGTCCAGCAGAGTCTAGCTTTGCCGGGACTTGTAAATGCTTCAAGGCATCAACACGTGTCATGTTAGGGAAGATCGGTTCAACCACGTCGAGGTGATGAAGCGTAACCAATGGAGCCACCGGGTGAGCCGCTAGTAATCCAAAGAGATTGCCATACACATCGTACTGAAACACAGAAAAGACAGTACCAATTAATATGGAACGGTTCAAAAACTAATTTGAGATCAGTTACCAAACCGACCGGTTATTGGTAGGTAACCGACGATTGGTTATGTAATCAATGAACAAATCACCAACAAACAAGGAAAGTGTCACGTGAGACAGACGCGCCGTTAAAGGCGTGACAACTCTTTAAAGAAACGGCCTGACACCGTGACGACGTGTACCTTACTCCGGCAACAATATAACGTACGGCAAAATTGTGGTCCAGTGACGTGGCATTATATCATAAATTGAGTTTTAAAAGGCAATAGATTTTAACCAAAAGCGTGTAATTTTTATGAAAAAAAATCCAAAACACGTTTTAATTTATAATCTCGATTACCTATTTAAAGCTCATTAAATACACATTTGCTAAAAAGTATTAAACACAATGATCAATAAATCTAGCTGTAGTTAAAACTACTTACTAGTTAACCAACCGCAACAAAACACGAAGAGATTATCTAGATTCGTATTAATCGATCAAAATATTTATTAGTAGTAGTAAATAATAATAAAATCAAAGTATTCGTTTAAAAAATTGTGTTTGTTGTAATAATAATCTGAACATGTTTTACAGTTACTTAACCAACTTAAATATAACTAGATTCATATAAATCTATGAGAATATTTGTTACTAAAAACATTATAGTAAAAAATAAAATAAAAGTGATAATTACTGACCTGGTGAAAACCGAGTTCTTTAGTGAGTGGAACACCGAGTTCAGCCATGCAAGCTTGCATCCGATCATCGGAACCGTACAACGCCGGATACCTTTTGATACACCGATCTTGCATTTTGCTCAGCGCCACCGCTAACGGATAACTTATAGCAAATCCTCCGCCGCCATAAGCCATTCCATAAGAGAAGTAAATGTTCTGAAGATGACTTTCCGATAAACTTCCGATGTAATACATCTGATTATGATCGTATTTTCTCAAAACTCTGATCAAATTCTCGGCGACGAAGACTGTATCATCGTCTCCCATAACAAACCATCTCACATCTTTGAGTCCTAATTTAAGTGTCTCCGTAACGATTCTTGAAATTCTAATCGCCGATCTGTGTCCTTGTTTGTTTTTATAAGGAAACTTCGATGTATCGCCGGAGATTTTCACCGGCGGGAGGCTAATTTCGTCTTCTTCTTCTTCCTTAACCGGTTTTTCTAACCAGACGTAACCACGCATTTGGTTTGGTTTATACCAAATCTTGATGTACTCTTTTCTCTGTTTCCATAGTCTCGCCGACGCGGCGATTCCGAAAACCACGTGTTGGTAGCCGGTTTGCGGCGGCGGAGGTGGTGGTGGAAGTGGTGAAGGTGGTGGAGAGGTGAAAGATTTGATTACGGCCGTTTGATTTGAGTGGAAGAGAATCAATGGCTGAGATGAGTTCACAATGTCGTTGAGACGACGAACAACGTCGGAGAATGGCTCCACGTGACAGGCACGTGAGTTTGAGATGAGCTTTAGTGTGTAGACGACGTAAGTGGCGGAGACGAGAAGGAGGAGCGTCACCATTAGTTTGGATACGGGTCGGGTTGGTGAACCGGATCCGGATAAAGTGCGTTCCCACACTAGCTTCTCTGATGGATCTTTAATCAACTTCATCTCAAGAACCAAAGATTAGAAAAAATGAAATTAAATAAAGTTTTGGAGGAAATAATTGATAATAAATGTTTTGATCGAAACAAATTTGATGGGTTTAAGAAGAAAGTGAGATTGAAGAGGAAGAACATGCAGTGGCTCTGTTCTGATTTTCTAAAAGAGAAAACAAAAGGGTCCTATCGTGAAAGAGACTCATTTTACTTTGTTTCTATATATAAAATATTTTAAAATATACTTTAAAATGTCGTCGTCAAAAAGAAAATTATACTTTTAGTTAGCAAGAAATCTAATCTAAATCGTGACAAAAATATTTTGTTTTGATATTATAAAAGTTAGATTCTAATTAACAGTTACTCGATCTTGGAATTATCTGTCTAAGTAATTAACAAAAATGTTATACGATATATTTATCATATTTAGATCTACTAAGCTATAAATTTACACTCGAGTTTGATTTTTTTTGCTGTAGTTTTTTACTGTATTTACACTCAAAACCGACGAAAAAGATATACCACAGAATCAAATTTTGTTTAAGAAAATTTAAGAATTAATTAAGTGGGAGACAAGTAATATAAATTACTAGTATGTTTTGTTTTACTATGATAACGATGGTAGTACTTTAAAATTGACACGTGTACGAGTCGTAGTGGAAAATATGTGTCGGTAGTAGCAGAATTTTAGAGGTGGTGGGGGGAGCTAGTATTAATTTATTTATTATAGGGGTTGGTTTAGAAAAAAATTAGAAATATTGGGGAAATTTATGAAAATGATAAATTATAGGGGGCATGGGTGTTGTTGCTTCCAACTTGTTGTTGCTTCCAACTTGTTGTTGCAGGCTACGAGACAATTTATCACATCCATGCTACTCTTAAGGAGCCTCTGAGTTCATTAGAGTTAGAGAAAGTAAATTTTGTAGTTCTTGTTTTCATTCTTGCCTATTTTTATCTACTTTTGTGGAAACCACATTCTTTATAATCATTGGGTTATGTATGTTATACATTTTCACTAAAAAGACCTAAAAGACTTTTGACATTACAATGTTTCAAGTTAAATTTGATGAATATTTTACTAATTGAAGACCCAAAACATTATTGATTGTTAAGTATTAGTTTTTGTTTTGATTACAATGCATGTACCGACGTTTTTAGTCAAGTTTTTTTGCTAAGTATGTTAATATCATATAAATGAAAAGTTTGGTTTTACATGGAGATAAACCTAGACAATTGGTTTTTTGGCAAAAAACTAAAAACAAGAAAGCAATAGATTACAAAGTTGGGATTGTGTCAAAGTTCAGTAGATCCAGAGACTCATAAGTGCAGAGAAACGCTTACAAGTGCGCCGGGCAGTGATGGAGTTCTTGATCTCTCTGTCGATTTCCTTGAATACCGTAGATGGCGGGATGCAAGAGTCATTGTGTAGGATATTGTTACGCTGCTTCCATATGGCATAAATCACAGATTGGGCAACAAGCTTCCTAAGAATGGGTGGTGACCTGTCATTTTTCCTTCTTGTCCAAGCCATAAGTGCAGTCCAAGAATCAAAGCTGGTGTTAGGCAGATGTAGCCTCTCATTTGTAGCCGTCCATAGATGCTTAGCAAAAGAACATGAAAGCATCAAGTGATCTCGAGTTTCAGGGAGTAGATTGCAAAGCCCGCATGTAGGAGAAATGTTCATGCCCCAGCGTATCAGTCTCGTCTTAGTAGGTAAACGGTCTAAGTTCGCAATCCACATGGTGAAAGCATGTCTTGGAGTTGCACCTTTAAACCATATGACGTTGGCCCAGTGGACCAACTCCTTTCTAGGTCTCAAAATCTGCCAAGTTCTTTTAGCAGAGAAGCCATGACAAACGGTTTCCTCAACAACCCAGTCATATGAGTCAGGTTCCTGCGAAAGCCTTGGAATTGGAATGGTCGATAGGTGGATATGGAGGTTCAGAACAGCATATGATCTTGGCGCAGCAAGGAGCCAGCCAGTCTCTGTGCAGGCGTCAGCAATCTTTGCATTTAGGCCTATTCTGGTGCTTCTTGGGCCATCTGGGCCAATGTATTTGATAAGAGGACCAACAGGGGCCCAATTATCAAACCAGAAACTAGCAGTCTTACCATTCCCAATCTGGTACTTTATAAAACGTTCAGCAAGAACCCTCAGCCGTAGCAAATACCTCCAGTTCCAAGAGTCACTTGCAGTCTCATGTTGGTTCCAGAAGCATGTGGTCCTGCTCAACGAATGTGTCCTATGCCAAGCCACCCAAAGAGATCCGCTAGTGGAGAAGAGTAGCCAAATCATTCTGAGACATAATGTTC